AAGCAACAGTTCACAAGGTGTACAAAAGCCAATAACCACTACAATGTAAGAGCTGAGTTCCTGGGCACTCTGTCTGCTTTCAACTCGACTCTCACAGATCTTCTGATTCACAGGTAAGTTCTGTTAAAATGGTCTGATTGAAGGAAGGCTAATACTTACACCATGGTCCTTGACGTATCCGTTATGAATAAGCAGCAAAGAAACAGTTCATTTAAGTTAATTGCACCAGTTAAGAAAAATGATAAGAGCTATGAAATTGGAGTTAATGGAAATGTGCTACGTCAAACTTTTTGAAAACCTTGACATTTTACTTGTGTTTGGTATTTTAATGAAGCCAATAAGTGCTAGTGAAACAATTCTAAATGAAATTATGATTCATCTCTCCTGGTCCTTGTGGACCACTGGTATGGACTTAGTAGAAAATCCTGCCGATTGTATGGTCAGCTGTGGCTCTAATAACTGCAGTCCTTGACCCCTCCTTCTCTGGGGAGGGGAGCCAAGGGAGGCAGGTGGGCCTCACAAGGCACATCACATCCACTTGGATTAACACACACGATGGTTCTCTGTTTCCTCAGAAGCTGCCTCATCAGCACCACCTAAACTCTTTAAGGAGCACCACTTTCGAGCTGCAGAAGGACAAGACTGAGGCTGCATGCAGTCTTCTAGAGTATACAGAAGACCTGCCAGTGAAGAACCAGAGTAAAAAGGTCAAAGACAATACATTTTTCAGAGAGTACGCCCTCATTGTGACCTAAGGGAACTGGTTCAGTTTTCCATGAATCCAGCATGGGGATTTCTATTATTTGAGGAGAAAACAGAGATTAGAGAAATAGAGATCAAACTTCCCTTCGGTTTCACCATATTCTCACAAGAATCCTCTTCCACGATAATGTGAACAGCTCTTGATTTTTACAAATCTATTCATTTAGTATAAAGGCCTAGCTTTTCTTACTGTCTATTTTAAGAAAATACTTGCAACATAAAGTATGGCATTGGGGCCAATCCAAGTTGTGATGTCTTCAGCCAGTGGAAAAAATGCATTTAAAAAGAAGTCTATAAATATCGCAGAAAATTGCTTTGATAGAAAATAGACT